ACGTGAACCAGTCCTTGGTATCCTAACTGAAATGGGCAGAAAGATTTCCATAAAAACAGCTCATGTGTTTTCAGTGCTTGCGTTCTGAAGCTCAACTAAAAAGTAACATATACTCCATAGACTGTGGATAATGGTTTCTATTTGAATACACACAGTTACATTTGTAAGGCATTTGGATTCAAGACAGAGAATGCATGTTCAGACCACTTTGAACACATTTAAAACCTTATACTAAAGATGGGGATCTGTACTCTTCCAGAAGCTGTTTGATTACAGCACCCATTGATCTTGACCACTGGCAATGCTGGCTGGAGTTTATGGACACTGGAATAGTCGGCTTGGTTCCCCACCTGATCTGTGTGTGTGTGTGTGTGTGTGCGCGTGTATGTATGTATGTGGGGAAATGGGGCCATAATGACTAGATTGAACCCTGGCACTACATTTCCTAACTAGCCTCTTCCTTAGTATCTGCACACAGTGTGAACATTTACAGGAATTCAGTTGTATATATAATGATTTCCATATGTATTCTTGAAGACTTCCCCTTCAGATAATTCACACTGTTCAGTAAAAACCTGGATATTACAGATCTGCATTTAGTAGATTTCGGATGTAAGGGCCACAATTTTGGTCTGGATAGATATCATACTGAAATGAAGGACATAGTCTCCAAAGCAGTCTGGCCAATGTAATTTATATCATCTGCATATATTTATTTTATTTGTGTTACACAAATGAAATACATGTCTGCAAATGTGGTAAATTTGGGGAACATACCTTTCTCCCAGTTGATCCATAAAAGTGAGGTTTTACATTTGGGGTAGGAGATGGTTGATCCAGAGGAGTGAAGTTAGCAGGAATGGCTCTGTTTTTTCCTACACATTCACAGACATTGTAGCATAATTCATCTTGCAGCAGTATGTGACTCACATTATGTTGTGTAATCTAAGGTTGAAAGATTTGTTAGCACAGAATAGAGCACATCTGAACTGGGAATCTCCTGCTTTATACATCAGTCTTCTAAAGAAAAACAAGGTACATATATAATTTAAGACAAAATAATTTTGCCCCAAATTGCATAACTCAGTACTACATTTAGTCTGTCACCTTTACTATGAAAAGAAGAATTGAAATTGATTTTACTCATGCATAAAATGATATGGAAATTGGGTTATATTTCTGTTAGCATTTTATTAATATATGGAAGGGGGTCAGGAACATAAACCTGTTCCTACTCCATACTACTCAGTGAACTGAGATGGGAGGTGAGTTTCAGGGATTTCAAAAGGGTGCTAGTGGTTGTTTAAGCCTGATGTGTCCATCTTGGGCTCTTCCCCAGAGAAGGAGGTAGAGCAGGAAATGAAAGCAAGGATCTTGACTGTCAGCCTTGCAGGGTAGATAGAAAGCACAGCCGTTCCCTTGGCTGTGGCTGTTCCTGCTGTTTCCCAAGGTCATTCTCACATTCTCACTCATTACACTGAGTTGCGTTTTTTGACCAAGGACTCTATTCAGCAGACTCAGTCCCTGTGACACCTTTAGACTGAGCTCCAATTTCTGATCTTGACCCTCAGCCTCTAACTCCTACATAACACTACTGCAGCCAAGTGAAGGAATAGGGGGCTAAAGAGCAGAGAAGTTCAGATTGCATGTCTGGGCTCCCCAGGAGAGAGAATCAGAGTCATAACAAGCACCACCAAGAAACCTTTTAGGACACTATCGAAGGCTGAGATTTCATCCATACTGCATGCTGTTCAGAAGTTTTAGCCATGAATTGGTTTATTGGATAATTCAACCTTCACTTGAATTAAGATCATGCTTCTAGAGTAATCTCTCTCCTATTGGATACATTATATTGTGGCATTGGATCTGTAGATGGGCTTCAATAGCTCTTTGGTTCTAGTATATCTGTAAGACTGATTTACTGGCACTTGACCATGGCTGAGTATCCTCTCTCCTGCTTCCTGTTTCCCTGAAGGACAGAACAAAGCCTTAAGGTGTGTATTTCTCTGCAATGTGTTAAAACAAAGAGCAGAAAAAACTGATCTAAAGGGTTCTGCAGGAGCTACAGGGACCACAAATAGAATGCTAGGTGGCCACATCTGTTTGCCTATTCCTGTTTTAAAACATAACTTGTCACTAAACTAACCACTATACATGTAATCAAGTAACCATAGTAGTACATGATGCAGCAATTTCACTAGAATTGGGCATACTCCTAGCTAAACACAAATTGGACTTAGCTAGTTACAACATATTTCTTTGCAGCAGAAGTGTTACCTGGAAGTAACACATATGGATCTATTTTTGCTGTTTGTTTACTAAACACACATAAACACAGAGGAGACAGTATTATTTTTCCATGCAGAGAATTATAATACACAGTGATAGCTTTCAGCGTGAACAAGTGCAGGAAAGGGTGTGTGTGCATGTGTGCAAGTGTGCATGTATATGTATATATTCTGTCCTTCATTTTTACAAAGCTGTTGGTCTTGAAAACAACTGTTCTTTCATACTTTCTGTGTAACCTCCCTTCCAAAATTGCAACCTTTCAACCTGTGCACAGAAGAAGAGGTGGTGACATGTGCACACAACAGATGGGGAACCCAAGGTAACAGAAACAATCAGGATTCTTTATGAAAAGCACTCTTACAGTACACCAGCTGTCTAATTGCAAGGTTGCACTTCATCTGTTAAGTCCACCCAACTTGACAGAGAAATGAAAAGTCAAAGAAAAGGATTTATTGTTTCTCAGGCAAGTTCATACTGGAGATGGGTAAATAATTGCATTCATTTCCTTTTCAAAAGAAAACCAAAACCCTTAGCCAAACAAGCATGAAAGAAGAAAACTTATCCATAATTCAGATATTCCAATGGCCCAACCAAGGATTTAGAAACCATCCTTACTACTTTACTGCTCACTGGTGAGGAATTTTACACTGAGTTTAACAGTGATAATCTAGTTCTCTGATTGCCAGTTCTGAGCTTTTAGATTATATCAAGAGGATATAAAGTTTCAATTTTTCATATGAATTCATTCCTTAAAATTCTAATGAGCATTTCTTAGATAGCTATTATGTTATACTAGACAACCTGTGACCTGTTGGGTCATCGTTTCAGAGATATTTCCTTACCTAAACAGAGAAAGAGAATGGCCAAGGGCAAAAAAGCACTGGGAGTGTGAACGACTTACACGCTTGCTGCCAGCTTCCCTGTTGACTTTGTTTGTGGGAAGCTGGCAGGGAGCATCAGAAATCCTCCCTCCCTCCCTCCCTCCCTTTCCACATATAATATAGGCTTGTGCTGTTTGCCCTCCCCTGGCAATCCTCAGGAGAGCTCCTGTGAAGCCTCCTCCTCCTCCTCCTCCTTGACTGACCTGCAGAACTGCCTGCCACTTTTCTGGGGAGAGTTGGAACAAAGGGAGCCAAGAACTGTGAGAAAAACTTCACCCCTGCTCCCCATTCTGGCATGTTCCTAAGGGCCCTCTCCCTTGAGGAAGGGGCTCACCCTTTGGTCCCTCCCAGCCAGCTCTACCTCACCAGCAAGCATTCAAGTCACTCCTTCTTCCTTCCCTCAATGCCAACCACCGTTAAGAGATTTCAAATTTCTGCCTCATTTCCAAAGCAGCCAATTGCTGCTTGTCAGTCGGGCCATGCTGCCAACCAGTTGGGTGCAGTGGACAGAAGGAGGCGGGAAAGATGATCACGTGACCTGGGCTGACTATGGCGGCATGGCAGCACAGAGTACTGAAGCAGCCACAAATTTCCCAAATTACAATCCCACGGGAGTAATGGGTCCTGGATTTTGGATGCATTCTGTAAGTTAGCCCATTTGAGGTACCTTGG